GTGTTTGCAATTGCTTCAACTTTAAAAAAGTGATTTTTTAAAGTGATTTTGGGAAAAGTGATTAATAGTAAAAGTTGGTAGTGTTTGAGAAAAAAGTGATTCTGGAAAAGTAAAAGTTGGTAGTGTTTGGTAAAATAAGTACTTTTTGTGTAATAGAAAAAGTGAGAAGCAGTTTAAAGCACCCTTCTACCTGCTTCCAGCTTTTAGCTTTTAAGTGATTAATTTAAGTAGAAGCTGTCATTTGAAAACACTCTTTTCAACTTTTTTTAAGCCAAAAGCTGAAAAATGCTTTTTTTAAGCAACTCCAAACACCCCTTCAATCATCAAAATCTAGGGGATCTAACAGTACTCTCATGTTCCGTGAAATAATCACTGCCATACAAGCAGTGTATGTGAATCATTATGGGCATCCTTCGTTTCCTTCCTATTTGCATACTCATCCGGAACAAGTCAAGGTCTTCTAACAAATTATCACCATGCACATTAAATATATTGAGTTCTTACATATTTAAAAATTTAGGAGTAGCATTTAAAAGAAAATAAAAAAGAACAAGAAAAAGAAAATGTAGTCACTCCACAATGTAGCAGACAGTTTTCGAAAAAGTAACAATTCCGAAAAAGAACAAAAGTAAAAGTAGTATTAATCCATATTTCAGACAACACAACAACTTTGAGCAGGCATCGATCTCAACATATTTTTGAAGCCAACTTTCATTTACATTGCATTAAGAAAGCAACTCAACTAATTTTAGAACTTTATATATACAAGTATATTGAATAAATACTTACCGTGATGAAGAGCAGACATATCAACCATTTTAATCCTCTCTTTAAGGAGTGTTTGGGTTTGCTTAAAAAAAGCACTTTTCAGCTTTTGGCTTAAAAAAAGTTGAAAAGAGTGTTTTCAAATGACAGCTTCTGCTTAAATTAATCACTTAAAAGCTAAAAGCTGGAAGCAGGTAGAAGGGTGCTTTAAACTGCTTCTCACTTTTTCTATTACACAAAAAGTACTTATTTTACCAAACACTACCAACTTTTACTTGTTCAGAATCACTTTTTTCTCAAACACTACCAACTTTTACTATTAATCACTTTTCCCAAAATCACTTTAAAAAATCACTTTTTTAAAGTTGAAGCAATTGCAAACACTCCCTTAGCCGTCTGAGGATAAGGCATTATTCTCCCCTTAATTCTGCTTGAATAATCACGTATTTTCAGCAAGTCGTGATCCATAAACACGTTCACTAGAGATGTTGGAATAGTTAGGCCGGGTTTTTGTCGTATGAAGTGTGTGGAAAGTTCAAAATAAGTGTTTGGGAGGGAAAATAAATCAGAACAGTTGACATTGACATGTCAATTTCAGACGAAATTGTTACTCTCCGGAGTAAATATCCTCAAATTGGACAAATATATTAGCTAGAGGCAGGGGTGGAAATAGGCCAGGTGGCCTGTGGCCCGGCTTTTTAAAAGTCCGACCTGACCCGTTTAGTAATCAAACTAGGCTTGGGCTTTTCAAAAAGTCTGTTTATCTAAATAGGTCAAGCCTAGCCCAACTCTGAAGCCTTTTTAGTTTAACAAGTCGACCTATTTATATGTGTATGTGTGTGTGTGTATATTTAGTTATATTTATATTTATTTATATTATTTACATTTATATTTATATTGGTATGCTTAACTATAACAAATTCGGCATAATAGTATTTTTTATGGAGTGTGCATTATAAATTAGAATAGAATATATTTTAAATATATATAAAGTGTGTTAATAGTTTACTATGATAATTGAAATTCAAGCTTTTCAAGATTTGGGGCCCGTTTGGTAACACCCAAATCGGCTGTATCAGCGGATTCTGCTGAAATTTATGATGTTCTGGCTGAAGTGGCTGTATGGGCTGATTCTGCTGATTTGTGAAAAAAAATTTAAAATATATTTTATTAATAAAATAAAGAAAAAATTATATGAAAAATAGTTAAAATGCTCCTCCACAGTAACTTCAGCCAATACAGCCATAAAAGTAACTTCAAGCTTACTTTTTATGCTTATTACACAATTCAGCGCACGAAACTAAAAGTTACGTGTTTGGCGAAAAAGTTGCCTGATAAGCCTGAAAAGCCAAATATCATGGTTACCAAACGGGCTCTTGAATTACATAGATATTTATTTTCACTACATAATAATGTAATATTAGACATCCAAAGCAAAACTAACATATAGTTAGACTTTTTAGTGAATGTTTGGGTGAATACCGGGTTAAAAGGATTTTTCACTTTCTATTTTTTATTTTTTTGAAATTTTGTTTTTTTTCTTAACAGGCCCAATAAACAGACTTCAGGCCAGGCCAGGCTTTTAAACAGGTCAGGCTCAGGCCGAAAAACCAGGCCTTTAACAGGTAACATGCCAGACTCAGGCATATACATTCTAAAACAAGCCCGTCCTGTTTAGACGAAAGCCTGACCTGGTCTGACCTGTTTCCACCCCTAGCTAGAGGACATATTATGCATGTAAATGAAATTAGAGGACTAATATTGGGTACGGTAAAAAGCTAGGGACTAATTTTACAATTTTCCCTTATTTTTTAATAAAATACTCCGTAGTTGTTATTGTTAATAGGGCATTAAATACTACCTCCATCCAGAGCAACAGTCACGAGTATATTGTACGGAGTATGAAGCAATGATTTTGGTACCTCTCATTAACAAGGCATTATTGTTATTGTTAATAAGGCATTAAATTCGTCAAATTGACTTTTCTTGGTCAATGTTGATAAACTTTGAACAATGATTTTAGTTATTATATTTATATATAGTTTATATATTTATACTTTTATGAAAATATTTTGAATAAGGAACATTTTGATATAATTTTCATATTTAAAATAATTTCACATTAAGTGATATCGTTGGTCAAAATTGATTGTTATTGACCAAGAAAATTCAATTTGGCGAACCTTTCTAGGATGGAGGGAGTATATGATTTGGTATCCGACTGTATTATTGCCTTCTTCTGGCCACAGAGATACGATTAGTATTCCATATGGGTCTATTTACGCCCAAAAAAAACGTACCATCACCATTTAATATATTTGTCTTCATATGAATATCGTACGGGTGTTTGCGCAGTGGTGACATAAACACACGTTTAATAAGTATCTACGCTACTAAAAAAAAGTATCTACGCATTAATTTGAGGCCACTATCATATAAATAATCTAGAAACCTAGCTCTTAAGAATTTTTGTCAAAAAAAAACCCCTCTTAGGAATTAATGAGACAGATACATGGATACGTATTGTTTGTTGATAGGCATGAGGCATCGTTGTAGTCTTTTGCCTGTTTATTTGTTCAAATTAGTTAAAGATTTCCCTACAAATATATATGTTCTGATATGTACCCAGTCCCTGAAATCCTTCCAAATCTTTCATGTTGGTCCTTCTTCTTAGATGATTACAAATCTGTAGGTTAATGGTAATTAAGGAGTAAGAACAAAATTCTATCCTTTCAGCTTGTTTAACCTATATGCACGGGCTACGTATGATTAAGATACATTGCAGTATCTCTACTAATAATTTCGAGTAAGTTAAAACTTTGAGTTATTTTAAGAGATTTTTTCCTGAACTATTACTAATAACAAAGTCATATATGATATATGGACACAGAAATGTGATTGAGTAATTACTCCGTATTAGGGACTATAATTATATTCAGATTTATACGAGTATTTGTTGTTCTAATTTATCTTTTTGTTTAAATCTGTTTAAATTTATCTTTTTCATCTATGATCTATCATAACTGTTTCATCATTTCCATCATCATTATCATTACCCAAATGTCGCAAAGGCGCCCACCTACGGTGGGGAAAGGGGTGGTCGGATGTACGCAATCTTACCCCTATACTAAAGCACATAGAGACTGTTTCCGGATGACCCATAGTGAAAATCACGTCTAAAATTGCATGGACTAGCTGCTACTTCCTAACAATGAAGCGCGGACAATTTAGTGAACTATTTTGCTTTATTCCATCATATTCTCAAGCCAAAAAATAGTGAGTCTTTGGCTCCATTGCAAATGATGGAAAGTTTTTCATCATTTCCAATGGAGCAAAAACACTCACTGTTTTTTGGATTAGAAATATGATGGAATTGAACAAAATGACTCACTAAACTGCCAGTGCTTCTTTGTTATGAAGCAACAATCACGTCCAAGTAATTTTCAACGTGATTTTCACTATGGCTCACCCGGAAACTGTCTTTAAGTATTTAGTATAGGGTAAGCCGGTAAGGCTGCGTACATCGGAATCCACTTTAGCTCATCGTAGGTAGGAACCTTTGGGCAGTGTGTAATATCATGTTGCTATTGTTGTCTTTGTTGTAGTATTTGTCCTATGAATTTGGTACAAGTATTTTTGGATGATTGTTATAATTCATTGTAATTTTGCTTTATTTCACACTTACGGATTCAATCCCAATCACACAATTTCATACGTAGTATTTGATAATAAATTAATCACACCATTCAATCATGTTCTAATCTTAGGGGACGGTAGTAAGAGATTGCATGACACTAAATCCTGGATTCTAGAAGGAACATCAAAGATCTCTAAATTAAGAAACACTTATATATCCATCATAATAATCTCCTTGCTTTTCGTTGATTAGTGCACGTACTGAATCAATAAAGTAGTGGTTAGTTAAATTAATGGAGTAGGCTTCTATATATAGTTGATTGGTTTACTTTGTGATTTAATAATTAGTGTATGTAAATGGAAAACTTTTACCCTTGGCTTTCCTCACTTGATCAACAAAATGATAGTGAAGATTTGTATAGGCTTTTCTCCGCTCCTCCACCTCCTATGCCTGCAGGAGGGTTAGTAACGACCAACAATCCCACGTTCAAGGACGACGTCGTTTCCTTGCAAGGTCCACCTTTACTCCCACAAAAAGATCTGAATTTGGATAACACCGCCGGAAAGTTGGAAGAGGGCAGCCGGCGTCAGAATTCCCCGGCGGCGGCGCAAGGGGAGAGCAGCACGAGTGATGATAAGCAAAAGAAAATGATACATAGAGACATTGAAAGGCAAAGGAGGCAAGAAATGGCCAGCCTTTATGCTTCTCTTCGCAGTCAACTCCCTTTAGAATACATAAAGGTTAGTTCATTCTAACTAAATTGGGCAAAATAGGAGTAACAAAATAATAATTCTAACTTGTTTAATCACATTAAAAAACTAAATAATACTGCAATATCTTTCTGAAAACATAAATGAATGATTCATATTTTAAAAAGAAAACAATGTTTGTCACGTAGTCTTATTATTTCAAGAAATATGGCATTTTGACTTTGTTCTACTTAAGAATTTTCATCACAAATGTATTTACCCCACGCATGCATTTGATGCATATCATGTGGTGCTTTAATTTATTCATATGTATACTACTCAATCCAACTATGATCTACTTACTAATCTTAGCTCAGATGAACAATAAACTATTCAAAGTAGAGTTTAAGCGCCCATTTCAAAAACTTTTGTTAACCCCATTTATTAAAATGTTACTCAAAATTATGTCGTACGTAGTAATTTATATTACTGTTATCCCTTTTTATCTGAAACAGTTTGACTTTCGCGTTTGTCAATACCTAAATTTGACTATAGTTATATTTAATTACGTATTACTCAGTTATAAACATCATAAACAAATAATATTTTGAAAATTCATATTAAGAGAAATAATTCAGAGTATTGCAATCATTAAAGAACGAGAAAGTATAAGTTAAACTCTATTGATTAGGTTTAGGGATTATTGAAAAAATGTACTCTTATCAAGAGATTAATTAACAAAGCAAATTTTAGAACGTTGTAAATATGTGGTATCAAGTTCGACACATATATTGTAATATTAAGAAAACTCCTCCTGATCCATGAATACCCTCCTTTGTAGACAAAAGTTGCAATTCAAAAATCGATTCTTTATTCTCATAAGATTCATGTAATTAAACAAAACATGTTTTTAAAAAGCATCGGTCCATTTGTACCTTTTAAACTCTTTCTTCAAATAATTTGATGAAATGTTATATCTTTTCTTATTTTCAAATAATATTCTAGAGCACTAAATGTCATCGTGTATTTACTCATGAATTTTTTTTAAAAAATAGCCGCGAAGTCCTACATTAGCGAAAAAATTTTGACCCACTAAACTAACAAATTTTTTTCGCCCTAATACACTAGAGGAAATATTTTCACCCCTACAATAATGAAAAAAATTTCGCCACTTGACTCGAAATCCTGGATCCATCCCTGACACGAGACAAAAGCCACATCCCAAGTAAACTTTAGAACAAAAATGGAATCTCTCATAGGTAGTGTTCTGATTTTGAGCTCTCCTAGAAAGATGAATGATAAAGAGTAGCCTATGACCCAATAATAAGCATAGCTTCATAGTATTATTATTAGAATAATTCATACGAAGTATTTAATTAATTTTACAGCTAATAAAGATGTCCAATTCAGTCGCGAGGGACAATAGTCACAATACAATAGTCTCCTCAAAAGTACAACCTTGTCATCCAATTGCAAATGGACATTCTTAATTCTTTAAAAGAACCATATATGAAACCATTGCAACTCTATAAATAACTACCTAGTATAAATGTATAATTTACACAACGAGTGGAAAAGTAGAAAATGGGTTAATTCGTAGGTAGTTATCATAGTTAAGTCTGGGAAGTTAGGGTTTTGTAAAAATATGTGTGTGTCATATGTGAAATGTTGGAGCTAGATATACTTATTGGTAAAGAGAGAACTGGAGTAAACAAAATTGTCTCTATTTAGGGTTTCTATGCAGAAAGAGGAATATTAATATGATTACTCGAGAGAATTGAAGGAGGACCGGTATATTCGGCAATATTGAATGTATTGGACATGATGCGGAGAATCGGTCGATTCTGCCAATTTGAATGTTATCAAACGGACTTTTAGCTAACGCTAAATTAGGCTTAAAACTAAGGCAACTTAATTTTCTTTTAGTTTTCTCATGTAAGCTTCTTCTATTCTCTCTTTTAGTATCATGCATGCATGAACTGTTGGCCCAACCTACAAAGAATCTTAAATTTACCCCTGATTTAGTCTCATCTTTTATGGACAGGACACATTAAATCTTTAGTGCTTGATTGATAAATGATATGCAAAAGACTTGGCTACATTTTTCCTAGTAAAATACGGTCACGTTTTTTTTTTGTTTTGCACCTTTTATGGACAGGAACATTAAATATTTAGTGATTGATACCTGATATGCAAATATGCAAATGAGTTGGCTACATTCCCCCGTTAAAATACGATCACGTTTTTATGTTTTGCATGTGTTTATTGACTTTCTGCGTTACACCTAATAAGAGGCAACATTTTAAAGTTTAGGCACAATCAAGGAAGCACTATAATGCGTGTTTTCCATAAAATATTACGGAGTACTAATAAAAAAATATACAAAAAAATGTTACTATAAATTACCTCGTACTATGTGTAAGTTTTATAATGATCATTAGAATGTACTTCCTCCGTTCTTTTTTAATTGCAACGGTCCACTTTTCACGTTTGCCAACGCATAAGTTTGACCATTAATATCTTTCATTCCTTATTAGTAAAAAAATTAAAAAATTAGATTATGAAAATTTAAAGTAATAGAAATTTAACAATATTTTTAAAAAATTTAATTTATAATACATTAATAAATAAAATAGAGTCAAAGTATAACATGTGAATAGTGTAAAATGTCCAACGTTGCATTTAAAAGAGAACGGAGGTAGTAACATTTAAATAAAATTATACTCCGTAGTCACTAAAGTTACAAGAATCACATTTTGTTATGAATTAATTAGGGAAAACGTTCGGCATCTGATCATGTTTTGGAGGCAGCGAAGTACATTGAGCACAAGCACAAGAGCATCCGTGAGCAGGAAGAAAAGAGGGACAGATTAAAGAGACTAAAAAGTGTTGTTTTTAAAGGAGAAGATGAATCCATAGCTGTTTTACCAGCAATGGTTACAGTCCAGCCATGCTTAGCTAATTACGGGGTTGAGATATTAATCAACTCTGGGTCTCCCAAGCAAGGGTTTCGGGTTTCGAGGGCGCTTTCCCTACTGGCCAAACAAGGCCTTAATGTCACTAGCTGTGTTTGCTCAAGAGTTGAGGACAGAATGCTCCACACCATTAGAGCTGAGGTGGTCTAATCTTTTCATTCCCATTTAGTTCCCTGCAAAAAGATTTTAATAATTAATTTATGATGCTATAATATAATTGCTGTTAACAATAAATTAATATCACACGCTTGGTGGATTTGATTATGTGAGATATGCATATTTTATGGATGGGATGTTCTTGCAGGTTAGTACACAGACAAGAGTTGATCTTCAAGAGCTCCAACAGAATCTGATCTATGCTCTTAATAACAAACATCATAACCCCACTAATAATTCGAACTGATGAGTATATATATCTTGATCCACTCATTTAAAATTAATAATTTATTCAATTTTTTTTTTGTTTTATTCCATTGATATATGGATGCATTATATTGCAAAGTTTTATTGTATAATATGTTTTTCCGATGTAAAATGTTATAGGGAGTATAAGTTATGTCATGTAAAAAATCGTTGTTCACTTCTTTCAGTGTAATAATGTTGTGTGGAATGGTAATTAAACGTGCTTCTTCTAAAGAACAATGATAAGAATTAAAAAGTGTTTGTGATTGCTTCTACTTCAAAAAATGATTTTTTAAAGTGATGTTGGAGAAAGTACTACGAGAAAATACCAATATATTACTAAAACATGTGTAGTTTCTCATAATATGACTTAAAAAGATTATTACCATTTATATGACCAGCAAAGCCTACAGTACGATCTAATGCAGCAGTTACAATTACACGGTACGGTTGCATATCATTTATGCACTATTCTAGGGAAAAAAACTACCAAGTCATACATTGGGAAATTGCATCCCTTTTAGTCATACGCGTGTTAATTTTCTCTACTTAATAGTTAAAGTTGGTAGTGTTTGAGAAAAAAGTGATTCTGAAAAAGTAAAAGTTGGTAGTGTTTGGTAAAATAAGTGTTTTTTCTGTAATAGAAAAAGTGAAAAAAAGCTTAAATCATCCTTCCACCTGCGTCCAGCTTTTAACTTTTAAGTGACTAATTTAAGCAGAAACTGTCATTTGAAAACACTCTTTTCATCTTTTTTAAAGCTAAAAGCTGAAAAGCACCTTTTAAAAGCTCTAGCAAACACTCCTTTACTCCAAGTAGAAGTAAGAATTCCTAAATCCTAATCCCCCCACCCCCCACAGAAACCCGCTTATATAAAAATATCAGAATAGGAACAAGTAACATCAGGACCAGACACTAGAATATTACTAAAAAACAGGTTATGTCTAAAATATTACTAAAGAAAGAGATGTGGACAAATAAGAGATTTTTTTTAAGTTCAAAAAATGAGACTAAATAATAGTAAAGGGACTTTTACACCCTTACTAAGGCCAAACCCAACTGACTTGTTACAGTACCCGCTACAGTGATCAAAGGTGCAGTGACCCATGTCATAGTGACTAATGTCACAATTACTCATTTCGACAGTGACCAATGACACAGTTACAAAATTCCGGTAGTAGTGATAAAAAATCCGATAGTGACCAAAAAACCATCAGTTAGTTGACGTCACCGGTTACAGTTACCAACCCGCCATTTACAGTTACTCAATTCGACCAGTTACAATCACCTAATTTGATCAATTACATTTGCCCTATTCGCTGGTTACAGTTACCTACCTGATTATCAGTTATAGTTACAAATATCCGACCTCAATCGATTACAATTTCCCAATCTAACCACTTACACTTACTTGGTCTCATAATGACCGTTGGCGGCCACATCCGGCAGCCACATCCGGCAGCCACCACCTCCAACCACCACCGGCGATTACCACCTCCAGCCACCACCACCGCCCCTTTAGTAACTGCCTCCCCGAAACAAGTTGCCCCTGCCTAGTAACAACCGCTTCCCCGGCACCACCCTTTCCCGGCGGAGACCGCCGCCAACCCTCTCCCGACGGTAAAGGCCGCCCCCCTCGTCCGCTAGCTCCCACAACCCCAGCCCCCAACCCAGCAGCCCCAACCCGTTCTTCAGCAAGCTCCCTAGCCACTTCCCCTTCGCATGCGGTGCGGACCCGCCCCTTCCAACCCATAGCCTCCCCTCTTAAGATCTCAACCTCCCAACTGCCAAACCCTACCCCAAAACCCTATCCTCCACCCAACATTCACCTCACCATCGCACCACCGCGGTCAATCAGAATCCTAACCATATATCGATCTGAAACCCTAGCCGTCAGTTCCATATGAGGCGAAAACGAGTCTTCTACTGTCACGCCCCGGACCTACCCGGACACGTCAACAATCCGCCGTACAGTACGAATAGTCAACCGCAGTCCAACACATCCATACTATACAAGGCGTCTGGAATATCGTTCACACATAGTACATCCATAAACAACCATAATGTAAAATATTCATTCAAAGCAGCGGAAACATTCAATACAAATGTTCATGCCACACTTTGGCAAACATGGGCATACAAGCCCCCAAATAAATAATCAAAATAATATCCATGAGCATTAATTAAAATGTTTATAAAATGGAAAACGGAGGAAGCACGAACCACGTCTCCTCCTTTTGGATCCTCCCGAAACAACGACGATGGTAGCAACCTTCAAGTTCTACCTGAAACTGTGAGGTGGCCTCCCCCGTGAAGGGGAGGTCAGTACTTGGAAGCATTTGACAAGTACAATGACAACTATACTAAATATAATCAAAGTTTCAATTTCCAAGACCCTCAAACTAGGGTGTTATCATATCATAATTAACTTTGTTCGTTTAGTGTCAATTCATCGTTATTTACCACGGTCTAGAGCCCAACTCATAATCACCGTTACCTACTACGGTCTAGAGCCCAGCTCAATAATCACCGTCATCTACATCGGTCTAGAGCCCAGCTCAATAATCACCGATAACTACTACGGTCTAGAGCCCAGCTGAATAATCACCGTTATCTACATCGGTCTAGAGCCCAGCTCAATAATCACCGATAACTATTACGGTCTAGAGCCCAGCTCAATAATCACCGTTATCTACATCGGTCTAGAGCCCAGCTCAATAATCACCGATTCTTTACAATTCAATATCTTAGGATCCATTCATCCATTATTCAACTACAATTCCAACTAATATCTCAATACTAGTTATTTACTCATTTAAATATAATTCTTCATTCATGTGTAATTTGGCTTAATATCAAAATATCACTTTTATACTTTCATGGCTTCTTCTCATGAAATAAAAAAGTGCATACTTATCACAAATGGGATTCATGGTTGATTCAACTATCATGCCATCATATTCATAACATATACACATACAAAATTTATTCTTAAATTTGTACATTATGCAAACTATACTTATAATCAATAGTAATTTCATCTAGGCATTATTAATCACTAATAATCCATGCAAATCACATTTTGTGTTCATTTAAGAAATCTCATGAAATTAACCCAAAGATTATAAGCAATATAGTCGGTCATCCTCACCTTAAGTGAGCTTAAGCGCGTTCTACGCTCCCCGGTCGAACTTTGACTAATTCCGGCGAACTTTGACCAACTCCGGCGAACTTTGACCAACTCCGGCGAAACTCCGGCGAAGCTCAAAAATACTTTAATCAAGTTCCTAACAAGGTTTTAACACCATAAAACCTTAATCAATACAAATAACCTCTAAAAGGTTATTTTCCGGTGAACCGGTCGTTTTTGACTTCTAAATCCGTTCTTGGACTTAGAACCACTTTCCAACCCATCATTCTACACTCTTTTCATGTAGAACAATCCCAAGGATTCTCCATATGATATATATCTCATAAGATTGAAGGGAAAATATAGAAAAGTTATGATAAGGTTATTACCTTAACCTTCACACTTTTAGCACTTAAATTCCTTTTCTTGGGATCCTTCCTTGTTGGGCTCTCTTCAACAATGGAGAATGAAGATGGAGAATTTTCTTGGCTTCTTGTTTGGGGTGCTGGCCGCAGGGATGAGGGAGAGACAAGGTGAGAACAGTTCTTTTGGCTTAATGATCAAATGAGTGTGGATGGGATCCACCTCATTTTGTTTGATTCCTATTCTTTCACTTCACAATCTCTCCCATGCCTTCCATCTTACACCAGCCGACCAATGTCTTGAAAAAATGAGGCTAATTTCGTGGGTTGGCCCCACCCATGTGGGAGGTCAACCCTTTTTGTCCAGTAGTGTACAATCGGTCCCGAAAGTTGTATTTTTCGGACTGTTTTAAATATATTTTATTTTATCGGGTCAAATAAAATATATTATGTGTTCTTAATCATTATACCCTTTATAATGAATATACCTTCCCCAACTTTAATTTATAAGCCCCCGAAATTCATTTCGGGCTTTTATCTGTTAAATTACCAAAACCGGTATTTAGGCCCCTTTTGATCAATTGGTCAATTCTATATCATTTCTTTGGACCAAATAAATTTCCCACCACCATATAAATATTATCTAAACCAAGATAAATAAAATATATGGTTTCAGGAATTATGGGCGGCCCCCGCTCCCGTGTGGGCCCCGCGTACGAATTTACTATTCACGCAAAAGAGTTGACAAAACTTCACAACTTCGTATACTCATTAATCATTCCACAAGGTTCAATACATTATTCACTTAAAAGTAAATACATTTGGGTACGGTGTTACATAAACAACCCGGTAACAGCAGAAAACAAAAGTCTTAAAAGAAAGAATGACAACAAAAACATAATACTGAAATAAATAAACTTGCAGAAGAAACCTAGACGAGCCTAAAAACCTAGCTAGGCCCACCTCTTCCCCATTTTTTGGCTCGTCCACCATCATAGCTCCTTCCCCCTTCAACCACATCTTCGTGTTCCTTGTTATCTGCCACTCGTCTCCTCTTTGACTCCACCACTCGGCAAATAGCTATCCCCTCCTGCAAAGTCTATGGAAGCTCCTCTTGCACAAGAACGCCATCTAAGTCCCACTCCCGACTTCCGCTGAGTATACCTCCTAGCGTCACCACTTGTTGTTCCCCACGGCCAGCTGCCTCTGCCCCATCTTTAACTAATCATTTATTCCCCCTCTCATCCTACCTCCGCCTGCCCGAAGCCACTTTGGAGTCTTTTCTTATTTTACGGGAATAAGTAACATACATGTAAAAAACGGGATTTTCCCTATGATTTCTGAAAAGGCGAGATTCAGAAAGAGCAATTCCGATTAGGATGGTTGAGGTGGGTAGATGGGCTGGGAGGGGGAAAGGCAATGGAATGTAAAATTTTTATTTTTTATTAAGTGATTTAACTTTTTTATTTATACTCTAACTTTTACAAAGAATATATCAAAATTCATAACGTCTTGTGTTTTTTCAAATGACACCAATATCCCATGCCATATATAATTTTCTTAAAGTTTCAAGTGTAGAGTGTTTTCAGATCCAAATTTTTTCTTAAATAGACTCAAGTGCTAAAATAAAGATCTCATTGTTAAAGTAACTTTTAAAAAATATTTCAATTATTTTAAAAATGAGATTTTAATGTTAGCATTTGGATCTATTTAAGAAAAAAATTGAACCGGAAAACCTTCTACTGTTAAAACTTCATTTTTTAAAACTTATATATATGTCATACGGAAGTTCGAAAAAAACTATGACTTTTGTTAATTTTTTTTTTTATAAAAAATGAGTTACAAATAAATAACTTACAACACTTCAAACAATGGGAATAAATATTTTGCTAGCCCCCACCCATCTCCCTTACCCACGCCCTCCAAACCCTTGTTTTGTTTGTTCTCTTTTTCATTCGGAATTTGGCATTCCATGTTGGGGTTAATCACGTGGGGGGTGATAATTCGAGTACTTGGATATCTTAAGGATAGTGTAAGTTCACTTTCCGAATTGATATTTCTCCCCTATGCCTGGGTTACAAGAAATTCAATCTAGGATAATCCTTAAGGACACTCTAGAACTTAGGCACAAGAACTAGAGCCAAACTAGTGAGTATATGGATTGCTATATTTAATTTGAGTGCCAAAGTGATGAAGATATGTTGGATATTATTCCTCTACCTCCTCTGTACGAAATATGGTGGTATATATCCATATTCATCGTCCTAGGCAGTAGTAACACGATTAAGAATAACCGCAGCAGTTTTTGGGAAACTGCTGGAAACTGCCTAACCGTTCTAGAACTCGGTCTAGAACCACAGAGCTGGTCTACTGAAAGTTATACCTCGAGTTCTACCTCGAGTTCCACTAACGTAGACACTTTGGAACTAAACTAGTTCTTATATACAAGTGTGCACTCCACACCTACTAACTTGTATTAGATCATAGTTCTAATTCCCATTGGCACTCATGTCATTTCCAATTACACAAAATGGCCGGTGACACTAAAATCACCAACAATCCTCCCCCATTTTAGTGTAACCCATGAAATGACATAACAAAGCTTACAAACCAAAACTTGCACATAAATGGAAATGTCGATACGATTGAATTTCCATCTTAGTATTTTACACATTCAAAATATTCGAGAATCGGGGTGTCCTACGGATTGAACCCTTCAACCCATTTGAATACCTCAAGATAAAATACATAAAAGTTTCAATACTCAACTAGAATACAAACTTGACACAATTATAAAGCCGTGTGTCCTAATCCCATTCATGACCGTATAAAAGCCAAGTCCCAAGCTTTTTGAAGTGCGGCTACACTTCACGATCATATAGGTAATTCCTTTACTCGTGTACCTGCTTACACTTTATCAAAGGAATTATTAAGAAATAAATTCAGCCTCCCTACTACAGGTCCGAACACACACATTGGGATGATTTTCATTGTGTGTTCCAATCCATTAAGTGTGAGCTTTCCGCATTGAATTCAGCCTCTAACGTTGTATTAGAGGGGAATTGGGTGTCTCACCATTAAGGATTAAATGGACTTTAAACCCATCCCTATAACAGACTTGTGCACTAAGTCCCGGGCCAAACTTTTGGTCAAGTGGTCCGCCAAGTTATGTTGCGATCTTACAAATTCCACCGAAATTACACCATTCATGATTAGTTCTCTAATCATACTATGTCTAACACCTAAGTGTCTAGACTTGCCGTTATAAACATGACTATACGCCTTAGCCAAAGTGGCAGCACTATCACAATGGATAGAAATAGGTGCAATCGGCTTCCCCCACAATGGAATCTCAAAAATTAAATTTCTTAACCACTCCGCCTCTTTACCGGCGGTAGCCAACGCAACAAACTCAGATTCCATTGTTGAACTTGTGATACAAGTTTGCTTCTTGGATGCCCAAGAAATGGCACCTCCCCCAAGCAAAAATACCCAACCACTTGTAGAAGAGTGATCCTCTACATTGGATATCCAACTTGCATCCGAATATCCTTCTAATACCGAAGGATACTCAAAGTAACACAAACCATAATCCATGGTTCCCTTTAAATACTTGAACACTCTCTTCATTGCTTGCCAATGTTGAGTACTAGGATTACTAGTAAACCGGCTCAACCTACCCACGGCATAAGCAATATCCGGCCGAGTGCTTGTCATGGCATACATTAAACTACCAATAGCTTGAGAGTACTCAAGTTGTGATACCGCCTTTCCTTTATTAGGCATCAACTTCACACTAGGATCCATGGGAGTACCAACGGGTGAACAATCACTATAATTAAACCTTTTGAGAATATTCTCAACATAGTGAGCTTGTGTCAAAGCAATCCCTTTGTTTACCCGTTTAATCCTTATACCAAGGATCACATCCGCCTCCCCCATGTCCTTCATGGAAAACCTTGATGATAACAATCTTTTGGTTTCATCAACCTGATTTTGTTCCTTTTATTTGGAACCCTATTTAGAACATAGCAGGTCATGAGCATGGCCTCTCCCCAAAACCCTTCACTCAAACCCGAGTAGGAAAGCATGGAATTAACCATTTCCTTTAACACTCGATTTTTCCGTTCGGCCACACCATTTTGTTGTGGTGTATACGGAGCCGTGGTCTCATGAATGATTCCAACAGATTGAAAATAATGGGGATCCATATATTCTCCTCCCCGATCAGTCCTAAGACATTTAATTGGATTACCCAATTGCAATTCAACCTCGGTTTTATACACTTTAAATTTCTCTAAAGCTTCATCCTTGGTGTGTAATAAATACACATAACAAAACCGAGTCGAATCATCAATAAAAGTAACAACATACTTTTTATTGCCAAGGGAAGGAGTTGAGTGAAAGTCACATAGATCACTATGTACAAGATCCAAAATAGTCGAATTCCTTTCAACATTAGGAAACGGTTGTTTTGTGATCTTAGTAAGCATGCAAGTCCTACACTTATCATCATTAATACCAAAAGCAGGAATTAAACCATCTTTAGACATTTCATGCATTTTTCTAAAATTAATGTGAGCTAGTCTAGCATGCCAAATCATACAATCATTCATGGAAGATGCCACAAAAACAGAATTATCACTAGGAATTAATTTATTCACAACATTTAAACGAAACATGCGATTTGATAAATATCCAAAACCAACAAACACACCACCCTTGGACAGAATATATTTATCGGATTCAATCACTTGTTTGAACCCTAAATTATTCAACATACTTCCCGAAACAAGATTCTTTCGAACCTTCGGTACATACAAAACATCAAACAACGTAATTGTTTTCCCAGAAGTAAATTCTAAAACAACTACACCCTTTCCCAAGATAGGCACCATTGACTCGTCTCCCATGCGTAATAAGGAACCGACCTCCACTGGTTCTAGGTCTTCAAACCATCCTTTATCCTTACACACATGGCTCGTAGCCCCCGAGTCAATCCACCATGCACAGTCATCATCCTGTACATAAAAAGATTCTGGAATGAGTGATACATAATTCTGGACAGAATTATCAAAGTTAGTCAGGAACTGACCTCCTTTCCGTGAAACCAGGTCCTTAGACCGTTCCTGTCCACTGCCACTCGTTCCAGCGCCATTCTTGTTCAGTTTCACACGGCAATCACGCTTGACATGTCCAACCTTTTGACACCTCCAACAAACCAAACCTTTCGGTTTCTTGTTGGGTTTGTCATGGTCTTCATACTTGCGCTTTTTGCCTTTCCCCTTATCTTTCGGGTTAGATTTATTATCCTCAACCAAGTGAACATGAGCCATTCTAGATTCAACTTCACCCATAATTTGGTCATTTTCTTGCACACGAAGATTCTCCTCAATGCGCAAGTGACTCCCAAGTTGAACCAAGGACAGTTCCTCATCTTGATGTTTCAAAGAACGTTTAAAATCCTTCCAAGAGGGTGGAAGTTTGTCAATTATACTCGACACGGCATAGGACTCATCAACACCTATCTTGTGGAGTTTAAATTGACCAAGAACACGAAGGAGTTCATTGTATTGTTCCATAACCGGCCTTGAGTCAACCATTTTATAATTATTAAAATCACTCACCAAAAACTTCTTACTAGAAGCATCCTCGGCGATGTATTTTGACTCAAGAGAATTCCACAATTCCTTCGCACTCTCAACGTTTTGGTAAATATCAAATAACGCATCGGACATACCGTTAAGGATGTGGCCTCTACATATGTAGTCATCGTTCTCCCACTTGTTGCGCCTCCTAGTTTGTTCCAAGGTTTCATCTTCCATCACCTCCGGCATGGGAGTGCTCAACACGTACACAACCTTCAACGTGGTGAGAAGAAAGTGCATCTTCTTCTGCCATCTACGGAAATCGTTCCCTTGAAACTTGTCCAATTTGTTGAACTTGGATGTCATCTCTTCCACGGTACTCATGATTATCACAAAAGAAATATCAATTCGATTGTTGGGGTTAATCACGTAGGGGGTTATAATTCGAGTACTTGGATATCTTAAGGATCGTGTAAGTTCACTTTCCGAATTGATATTTCTCCCCTATGCCTGGGTTACAAGAAATTCAATCTAGGATAATCCTTAAGGACACTCTAGAACTTAGGCACAAGAACTAGAGCCAAACTAGTGAGTATATGGATTGCTATATTTAATTTGAGTGCCAAAGTGATGAAGATATGTTGGATATTATTCCTCTACCTCCTCTGTACGAAATATGGTGGTATATATCCATATTCATCGTCCTAGGCAGTAGTAACACGATTAAGAATAACCGCAGCAGTTTTTGGGAAACTGCTGGAAACTGCCTAACCGTTCTAGAACTCGGTCTAGAACCACAGAGCTGGTCTACTGAAAGTTATACCTCGAGTTCTACCTCGAGTTCCACTAACGTAGACACTTTGGAACTAAACTAGTTCTTATATACAAGTGTGCACTCCACACCTACTAACTTGTATTAGATCATAGTTCTAATTCCCATTGGCACTCATGTCATTTTCAATTACACAAAATGGCCGGTGACACTAAAATCACCAACATTCCAAATCCCGTGTTTTGGTACAACAATTTAAACTCCCGTATTTTTGTTTGTTAAACAAAAAAGTCCCGTATTTTGGGAATTCCCTCCATGGACCATATGGCTTTACTAATTCACCATCCCCTTTATTATACGCTCGAGGACAAAAGCGGTCAGCATCACCCATCAGACAACAAACATAACAAAAATTCAGAAGTTTTTCATGCTTCTAGTCCCTCCAGAACCATTCCTTTTCATCTTTTCCGAATTTCACTTTCCTCCCTAGAAGGCTTCCTTATGTCGAGGCACACCCTTAGCCTCACATAAGGCCTCCATGAATCCTCAAATTGACTCTCGTCAACTTGAACTAATTTACCTAACGAAGTCCCAATGCTTTTTGCAACTCTCATTGTAAGGAAACATCATATTCTTGTAATTTACATTTGTATATTTACATTTTTAATTAGTTTTGTTGTTTTTTACTTTGGAAATTACACACTATTGTTGTAATACTTTAGTTTGTTAAAATAATTGTAATTTGCTTAGATTAGGATTATTCTAAGCTAAAACAGATCCAAGATCAATCAAGGGACCATGGGTGAACCACAAAGGAGGAAGAAAGGTGCAAAAATGTAGGACAAAAATAGAAGGTTTCGATTTTGGACTATACCTGGTCGGGTATACCCCATACTCAATCGGGTATCGACTTGACTTGCGAATCAAATCAAATCCAAAAAACAAAGGAATGTGAAGGACGATTTTTGACCACGATCTTCTGTCATACCCGATCGGGTACACCGACACACCCGATCGGGTATGCCTACTTTGCACATCTTCCAGGAAACCGCAGAAGGTACCCGATCGGGTATAGTACCCTATATGCCCGGTAGGGTACACGAGCATGCCACCTCAATTTGCCTATAAATACACCCCTTTTCCTACACATAAAAGTCACCAATTCCTGTATACTTCTAAGCTCAGTTTAGTCAAGTACTTTCCTTATATTTTTAGCATATTTAGACTCCAAATGAGGAGCTAAACCCTTCCATCTTGGTTTTGCTACATTGAAGCTTATGATTTGTAACTTGTGAGTTATTTTCTTTAATCATCTTCCTTGAATATTAATTACATTCTTATTTTATATTCATATTAATATTTTAGCATTACTTAAATGTTCAACTAGTTTTGTTTCATATATTAATTATTACTAGAATCGATCGATGAATACGCATGTTAATAGTTTGGTCCTTTAAATTCACGGTAGTAAACTTGGATTATTAATGCATGCGTCTCATGGTTAATAATCTAAGGGGAATTAAATATATTGATCAAACCAATAAACCGCTTGTGTTGATGTTATCAATCTCAATCGATTTCATCTTAAGTTTTATTGCTACTATCAGGTCAATATACAACGTTTTATTAAGTTTTATTAACTTGATAGTAAGTTTTATTAATGAACGCGTCACATTATTAATAACTACCCTCGATGAATTGGAGATACTCCATGATTGAATATTCGAGAGGAAGATAGTTAACGATATAACCGGGATCAACGAATATTTCATTAAGTGGATATAAGCAAAACCAAGTCTTCATCTCTAATTAAGTAAACCACATAAGTCGTTCAACTTAGTGTTCAAACATACTTAAGTTTCAACAAAAACCTTAAAACCCCCCTTGTTACTATTTCATAAAAGAGAAATACTTCTTTCCTTGCGGATACGAACCTTACTACGCTATACTACAATATAAAGCGAGTATTGTATTTATTTTGAGGCACACAACGACTTTAGTGTCGTCAAATTTGGCGTCGTTGCTGGGAAGAGGCAATAAATTTTCTTTTTATTTTATTTCAAGAAAAAAAATTAAATAAAATATAAAGAGTTATTGATTTTCTATATTTTGAGCTTTGTGAGTATATGGTAAAAACCTGTTCCATAAACGAAATCACATATCAAGCAAACCCGGAAATAGAACAAACTTTCGAGCCGTTGAAAAACATATTTTAGAGTACCGGCTTGGGAATTATTTACCGGAGATTCATCCAACGCTAGCTCTAGCTCTAGCGAATCCAAAGAGTCCATACACATGGCTCTCGAGACAAGAACCTTGAGGGAGCTCACAGCTCCAAAACTTAATCAACGACCATTATGTATCACCTCCCTGGCTCCCCGACTCTTGATGCAGGTGCTACATTTGAGCTAAATTTTGGGCTCATTAATCTATTACCATCCTTCAATGGTCTATGAGGGGAAGATCTGAACAAACACTTGTCAGAATTCCATATTGTGTGCACGAGCATGTGCCCCAATGGTGTCATGGAGGAGCAGATCAAGCTGATAGCTTTTCATTTTTCTCTCAAGGACACAACGAAAGATTGACTATTCTATCTTCCTTCGGGAAGTATAGACACATGGGCGGCCATGAAGAAATGCTTCCTTGAAAGGACTATCCCGCATCCGTCTCATCATCTATAAAGAAGCATATCAACAATATTCAACAAAAGATGATGAATCACTACATGAATTTTGGGAGTGTTTCAAAAAGCTTTGTGCTAGTTTTCTGACGTGCACTTGTCGTGATGTGCACTCAAAATAATAATCAATACAACACAAATACGTAGTATAGTGAAGTAAGGTTCGTATCCACAGGGAAAGGCACACTTCTCTTTTTATAGAATTAGAAATAAGTAACAAGGGGTTTTTTTTGATTGGTTTATGAACTTAAATTATATTGAAACACAAAGATGAACGAGTTATGTGGTTTAATTAATGAGAAGAAGACTTGGCTTTGCTTTTATCCACTTAATGAAATGTTCGTCGATCCCGGTTATATCTTTAACTATCTTCCTCTCGAATACTCAATCGAGGAGTATATCCAATTCATCGAGGGTAGTTATTAATAACGAGACGCGTTCATTAATAAAACTTACTACCGAGTTAATATAGAACACGCGCCGTATATTTACTCGATAGTAGCAATAAAATCAAGATGAAAACGATTAAGATTGATAACCTCAACACAAGCGGTTTATTGGTTTAATCAATATAATTAATTCCCCTTGGCTTATTAACCATGAGACGCATGCATTAACAACCCAAGTTTACTACCGTGAAAGGACCGAGTTAATAACAAGCGTATTAATCGACCGATTCTAGTATTAATTAATATATGAAACAAAACTAGTTGATCCTTTAAGTATTGCTCAAAATATTAATATGTAATAGGAATAGGAATTAATTAATATTCAAGGAAGAAGATTAAAGAAAATAACTCACAACTTACAATTCATTAAGCTTCAAAGTAGCAAAACCAAGATGGAAGAGTTTAGCTCCTCATTTGGAGACTAAACATGCTAAAAATATAAAGAAAGAACTTGTCTAAACTGAGCTAAGAAGTATATAGGAATTGGTGATGTTCTTGTGGAGGAAATGGGGTGTATTTATAGGCTTTTTAGGCTTGCAGGGTCGTGTACCCGATCGGGTTTTCAGCCCACTCGATCGGGTACCTTATGTGGCTTCGGCGAAGCTGAAAAATGGGGTCATACCCGATCGGGTCTGTCGGTCACCCGATCGGGTATGGACACCCGAACGTGTTAAAATCTTCCCGCATGATGCCTTGTTCCCGGATTTGATTTGATTCGAAATTTCAGAAGGGTACCCGACCGGGTATAGGTCATACCCGATCGGGTACAGACCAAAAACGAGATCTTCAATCTTTTTCTTGCATTCTTGCACCTTCCTTCCACTGGTGATGTTCTCCAAAGTGTATTTGGACCTGTTTGAGCTCAGAATAAACCTAATCTAAACATATTACAAATATTTAACAAACTAAACTATTTACACCAAAAGTGTGTAATTTCTAAGGTAACAATCACTCGAAACTAATTAAAAGTACAACTTTAAATATGGAAATTACACGAATGTCAACTCCCCCACACTTAGTTTATTTACTCGTCCTCGAGTAAAACCAAATGTTTACATAATGTCCATCAACAGACCATGAGTTCATAGATAAGAAGAAATAAGGAACTAAAACCACCAAGTATTGTAAATGAAGTTACAAAACAAATTTTTCCTTGGGTTTAATGGTCTTCTATGCTCCTCACTTCTTCTTCTTCTTCCTTTCTTCTTCCTCTCCAAGAGATAGTGCCCTGCAAAACGCAAATGCTTCTCTCATATCTCTCATTTTGCCTAGGAGCCTTTTAAGGTTTTCATCCTAGCATCTCTTTTCTTTTTCTTTCTTACCACTCACTCATCATTTTTTTTTTTTGTAAGCCCTTGTTGCTTAGATTGCCCTTTTTGGGTTTTCAACCTAACTAGCATTTCATTTCCTTTTTTTTTTCTTTTTTTTTTTTTTTCTTTTTTACATTTGAACAATTTATTTGTAGAAACTAATGCTTAGTACAAGGTAAAAAAAAAAAATAAAGGGATTGTGAC